CTTTTGTTTTTGCTACACACTGAAGACATTTGGGTTTGAGATCAAAAGATGAATATGAGACAATAGATCAGAATTTCACCTGTCATTTCCTGATATATGTTGATGTGTTATCAAAAATATTGGAACGTGTGACTGACAGGTGTTTTTGTTGTCCAGGTGTACCCTGTTAGATTGATTGTTTAAACAATTAATAGCTCTGAATGGCTACTCTTTGTTTGAGCCCTGGGCTTTGCCTGCGTAGACTGCATTTGTGGTTAAAAAGGATAAACCGACATGAAGATAAGAGAGCTGTATATGGGAGAAAAGCAAGCCATTTTGGAGCTGAGAAAAGAGGGAAAATCAATCAGAGCCATTGGGCATAGCCAATACAACAATTTGGAATGTCCTGAAAAAGAAAGAAACTATTAGTATACTAACAACCAGATAGCAAACACGTTGGCCAAGGAAAACAACAGCAGTTGATGACAGAACCATTGAGAAAGCTGTGAAGAAAAACCCAAAAACTATATATAAAAACTGTTGTAATTCCTATACCATCTACCTGATTTGAATGTAAATACCCTCAAATTAAAGCTGAAAATCAGCACTTTGAGCTCATTTTTTCAGCATTTATTATTTCATTATTTCAACTTTGTCATTTGTCAATGTCCACATGTTTATGGACCTGTAGAAGTGTGTTCATTGTCTTTTTTTTTTTATAAAGCCATTTAAGGCTCAAATCAGGTAGTAAATTGTAAATGTTATATGAACTATACTGATATCTAGATTTTTATTTAAAACTCAGTCAGGTTTAACTGTAGTCAGATGTAATTAAAGTCTTATTTATAAATATAGACATGTTCCCATTCTGAGACAAAAGTGGGTCCAGCTCTAAGGCACTGGATAAAGAGTCACGTAGTGCCAAGCAACTCAAAAGGTCCCACACTAAAAGGGGAGGTGCTGGAAAGAATGTGCTGGAATGATATAACAAAAGAGGACTAAAATTTAAAAAATCCTTATTTCAAATAAGCAACATGATAAAAGAAATCAAACACCTTAAAGCAGATAACCAAAATGAATAAAAGTGTGTCTGCCATGTCTAGAGCTCATTTTATACACTCACTGGCCACTTTAATAGGAACACCTGTACCAATGCTCATTCATGCAGTTATCCAACCAGCCAACCATGTGGCCACAATGCAAAGCATAAAATCATCAGTGGGCACAGGTTCACTGAAACTGGACAGTTGAAGATTGGAAAAACAACATTTTCGATGTGTTGTACATTCTGAGATGCTTTTCATACTCTCTCTACACTCTACACACTTATTTTTCTCTTGGATGAGTCAGAGTGACTGCATGCTTCCCTGCATGGGGTTATCCAACATGGACCGAATCCAATATTTTCCCTCCATAAAGTCCTTGCTTAGTTTAGTGTTAGGACATTTTGAGTCTGGGGAATTTTATAATCCAAAAAAGGTAGATAATTTTTTTTTCTAAAATCTTTGCAGTGCTCTAATCGATAGTTACATCATTAGTAAAATGAGTGACTAAGCATGCTACTTCCACCATGAATCATAGATACATTTTTTAGATGATAAGTTTTCTTGCACGTTTTTACCTGTTCATCCTGAACAGGTTAAATTTCTGGTTCATTTGTCTATATGTCTGGAAATCTTTTAATTAAAAACTCTGAGAGGTATCTATTGTATTTTACATTTTACATTTCTTTCTTTCACCTCTCAGATGGAAGTGCATTCAACGGGGGAGCTTTTGCTGTCGCTAAGCTACCTGCCTGCAGCAAACAGGCTGGGGGTGGTGGTGATGAAGGCACGAGGACTGCAGTCTGAAAAAATTAAAGACACTATAGGTAATATTAGTCACTGTATAGTCTAATTGAATGCTGCTCACTACCTGTGTTCCATACAGTAACATCTCGTACAGCATTCAAGGGTTTGTAGAAAGTATTAGGACACTTTAACAAATGGATTGGAAAATATGATATGAATATGAAACATGAAAAATGGGATGTCCAGGATTGTTTTCTTTTATGTATTCTTTATGTAAGATAGAAACAACTGCAGCAAGGATTAGCAGAGGAAGCCCTGGCATGGGGGTTACCTTAAGACAGGTGCTCTGAAACTGAGATCCCCAGACTGCTACAGTCAGTCCACATGGGGGTTGTGGCCCTGCAGCCAGGGGAAACTCAGAACCAACTGCAGATCAGGGGTACTATTATGGAACAGGGTGATCTGCTCAAAATGCTGCTCAATCTGGAGCGTAAGGGGTCAGGTCTGTTGGAAGACCAGCCCAAGGTCAAGAGACTGCCTGTCAATAGCGGATAACTGCAGCAGATGCTCCAGGAGAACAAGAGGTAGCTTAAGCTTCTGGCCAGGGCAGGATAAATAAAATTTCTTGGCTTTTCCCAATAACTAAGGACCGTTTGGGCACAAATGTCCTGACTGATGACAGTACAAACACTGGCCTTCTTGCATGCAGGTCTCCCAATCCCGGCGAGATAGGTAGGTGTGCCCCAATTGCATGGGCTGAACACATGCGTCTAAAAGATCTGGATGGGATGGAGAGGTATCAGGGACAGGGAGACAGGCCTGAGGCCATTGGGGCGCTCAACTTCCCAGCATCCACAACACTTCCACAGCCAGTTGTCCAGCTTGAGAGACAGCTAGATTAGGTCCTCGAGCGATGAAGAGGGGTCACAAGGGGCCAATTTGTCCTTGAGTTCCCCACTTAGGCCCTGGTGGAAGGCCGCCATTAATGGAGCTGGATTCCAGCCACTCTCAGCGGCCAGAGTGCAGAACTCAACGGCATAGTCAGCCACCGGTCTTTTCCCCTGCATTATGCAAAGGAGGCGGGGACCAATCTCTCCTCCACAGAATGGGTGGTCAAAGGCACCACGCATATCTGCCATGAACCGGATTGCAGAGGTGCATACGTGAGGATGACTCTCCCAGACCACAGTGGCCCAAGCGAGGACATGTTCTGAGAGCAGGGAAATTTTGTAGGCCACCTTAGAACTGGGACAGTTGCTGCTCAAAGGCAAGAGAGCACTGCAGCAAGAAACCCCAACATCGCCTTGGGTCTCCATCAGATCTCTCCAGAGAGGAGAGGTGGGTCTGTCTGGTGGCCAAAGATGGCCTAGCTGAAGACACAGCCCCCATCTGGGCTGTTACAGACTGATCACCTTTATCCTACGATGGGAGTGGTGTCTTCTAGGATGACACCGCCCCTATACATTGGTCATAAAAACTCATGGAATGGTTTGAGCATCAAAATTATATACTATATCATATATCACCAGATCTCAACCCAATTGAACACCTATGGGAAACAGCATTCTCCACCACTATTGTGAAAACACCAAGGACAGTGTTGGAAGGACAGTGTTCATCTCTCCAGTACAGTCCCAAAGATTTGTAGAATTTATGCCAAGACACACTGAAGCTGTTCTGGTTGCCTAACACCATACTACAACACTTGATTTTAAAATTTATGTTTTTTCCTGGGTTTTGGGATTGTGACATCTCAAATGTGTAGATGATTTCCTTATCTAATCTATCCAGTAGCAATATGTAAAAATCTATTTTAAAAAAATCAAAAAAGTTATTCCAGACACAAGTCCAAATGCTCACAGCTTTTTTCTCCAGAAGCTATTTCAGATTTTTTTTGTCTTCTACATAACAGAACTTCTTGTTTCCAGACCTATCAGTGAAGCTGACTCTGAAGCACCAGAGCACCAAACTAAAGAAGAAGCAGACACGGCGTGTCAAGCACAAAATCAACCCGGTGTGGAATGAGATGATGATGCTGGAGCTCCCCAGAGAGCTACTGACCAAGTCCAGCTTAGACCTGGAGGTGCTGAACCAGGCGAGCCCTGGCACACTGCTCCCACTTGGGCGCTGTCAGCTCGGGCTCCAGTTCTCAGGCACTGGCCTCCAACACTGGCAACAGATGCTGGATAACCCACGCAAACAGATTGCCATGTGGCATCCCCTGCATGCTTAAAATAAAATGCCAACTAGTGTATATAATGCATAGTTAAATGTTGTTTGTTCATATTTATTAGTACTGCTCTACTACTGTGCAATAATATGTGTCATTATAATGTCCAAAATTTTAAGATCAACTGCTCAGCTTGACCACAGGCTAATCTGTTACTATTGCTGATTCTACAGGGACAATGATAAACAGGTGATTGATTTTGGTACAGATCATTACGTAGTGAGGAATGTACTACCATATATACAGAGTAGCATATTTAGCCTTGGTGATTGCTTCACGTCCCCCAGCCCAGACAAAGTGAAGTCATTGGGCATATTTAAGACCAGACCTGCTTTTGATTTGATTTGACTTGATTTAGATCTGGAGCTCTGTGATTTGGTTAGTCCATCCACCCAAGAGGAAGGATTTTGTTCCAAGTGAGGAAACAGATGGTCAGTTTTCACCTGCATAATTGCATAATAATTATAACCACCATAATTCCTTTGTATATGTAATAATAACTCTGCATTAATTATAAACTAAAGCAATTTATTATATTTAAGATATATTATCTTTCCTCATTTTTGGATATGTTGAGCAGAATGATGTATGAGTATAGAATTCCTCTGTCTTGTATATAAACATGAAATTATACTGTGATGAATTTAAGTCTTGGTACAGTCTCTACATATTTCATTACTACCATGATAACAGTAATTATTATGAAATATACTGTATACACTAATGTGCTTAAACATGCAATAAGGATTTAGTAGATGCTGGTTTTACAGTACAGTAGCTCCAAAATAAATTATTTAAAAATATTAACGTTATGATTAGAACTTTGATGTTGGAATATTTCACTATGAATAATGGAAATATTTATTCAGCATAGATGAATGATACAACAGATGTGCAGGAATAAAAGTGGACTCTAAGATGTGTGATTTCTATAATGAGTTTTGCTATAATGCATGTTACACTGAACTTTATAATTTACTGACATATGAATACAGAATGGGGGCACAGTGGCTTAGTGGTTAGCATGTTTGTCTTGAGCCTCCAGGGTTGGAGTTTCGATTCCTGCCTCTGCCCTGTGTGTGTGTGTTTGTGTTTGTCTGTATGTGTGTTTGCATGTTCTCCCCCTGGTTCAGGGGTCTCCTCCAGGTAATCCGGTTTTGTCCCCCAGTCAAAAGACATGCGTTGTAGGCTGATTGATATCTATAAATTGTCCGGAGTGTTTGCACGATTGTGCCCTGCAATGGGTTGGCACCCTGTCCAGGGTGTCCCCTACCTTGTGCCCTGAGTCCCCTGGGACAGGCTCCAGGCTCCCCGTGACCCTGTGTGGGATAGGTGGTACAGAAAATGGATTGATGGATGGATGAATACAGCATAAAATTCCATATCACTCCTACTTTACACACATATTATATATATATATATATATATATATATATATATATATATACAGTATATATGTACACACACACACACATATATAGATAGATAGATAGATAGATAGATATAGATTAAAACCACTGACAGGTGAAGAGAATAACGTTGCTTATCTCGTTACAATGGCAGGGGTGGGATATATTAGGCAGCAAGTGAACAGTCAACTCTCAAAGTTGATGTGTTGGAAGCAGGAAATGGGTAAGTATAAGGATCTGAGCGACTTTGACAAGGGCCAAATTGTGATGACGACTGGGTCAGAGCATCTCCAAAATGGCAGATCTTGTGGGGTTTTCCTAGTATGCAGTGGTTAGTACCTACCAAAAGTGGTCCAAGGAAGGACAACAGGGTCATGGGCGCCCAAGGCTCACTGATGCGTGTGGGGAGCGAAGGCTATAAGCCATCTGGTCCAATCCCACAGAAGAGCTACTGTAGCACAAACTGCTGAAAAGGTTAATGCTGGCTATAAAAAAAGGTGTCAGAACACACAGTGCATCGCAGCATGCTGACCCCTGTCCACTGCCAAAAGCGCCTAAAGTGGGCACATAAGCATCAGAACTGGACCATGGAGCAATGGAAGAAGGTGGCCTGGTCTGATGAATCACGTTTTCTTTTACATCATGTGGACAGCCGGGTGTGTGTGCGTCACTTACCTGGGGAAGAGATGGCACCAGGATGCACTATGGGAAGAGGGCAAGCCAGCGGAGGTAGTGTGGTGCTCTGGGCAATGTTCTGCTGGGAAACTTTGGGTCCTGGCATTCATGTGAATGTTACTTTGACACGTACTACCTACCTAAACATTGCTGCAGACCAATTACACCCCTTCATGGCAAAGGTATTCCCTAAAGGCAGTGGCCTCCTTCAGCAGGATAATGGGCCTTGCCACACTGCAAAAATTGTTCAGGAATGGTTTGAGGAACATGACAAAGAGTTCAAGGTGTTGACTTGGCCTCCAAATTCCCCACATCTCAATCAGATCGAGCATCTGTAGGATGTGCTTGACAAACAAGTCTGATCCATGGAGGCCCCACCTCGCAACTTACAGGACTTAAAGGATCTGCTGCTAACATCTTGGTGCCAGATACTACAGCACACCTTCAGAGGTCTTGTGGAGTCCATGCCTCAACGGGTCAGAGCTGTTTTGGCGGCACAAGAGGGACCTACACAATATTAGGCAGGTGGTTTTAATGTCGTGGTTGATCGGTGTATATATATATATATATATATATATATATATATATATATATATATATATATATATACACAGTCAGGTCCGGAAGTATTTGGACAATGACAGAGTTTTTGTGATTTTGCCTTTATACACCACCACAATGGATTTGAAATAAAACAATCAAGATGTGATCGAAGTGTAGTAGACGGAAGTAGACAGCTCTACTTTTAAGAGGTTCCACAAAAATATGGCATTTACCATTTAGGAATTACAGCCATTTTCAACAAAGTACTTCCATTTTCATGGGCTCAAAGGTATTTGGACAATTGACTGACAAGAAGTTAATTGACAAGGTGCGGTCCATTTCCTCGTTACTTCAAGACAAATGAAGCAGATAAAAGGTCTGGAGTTGATATCAAGTATTGAGTTGGCATTTGGCAGCTGTTCGACTGGACCTACCAATATGATGTCCAAGGAGCTCTCAATGCAAGTGAAGGAGGCCATCATTAGGCTGAAAAAACAACATAAATCTATAAGAGAGATAGCAAAAACCTTAGGTTGAGCACTGGTGAGCTCAACAACATCGAAAGGCCTGGAAGACCATGGAAGACAACTAAAGTGGATGATCGCAGAATCCTTTCCTTGGTGAAGAAAAACCCCTTCACAACATCAACAGAAGTCAAGAATACTCTGGAGAAGAGAAAAGTATGGCGAAAGAAAGGAACAGCTCATGATCCAAAGTATACCACATCATGTGTCAAACATGCTTTTCACTTACTGAAGACAAGACTGAAGGCAGAAAGACCCACAAACAAGCAGCAACTGAAGGTGGCTGCAGTGAAGGCCTGGTTTTGAGAACACAGTTCAGTCATTGACTGCAAAAGATTTTCATCCAAGTATTAAAATTATGGTTATATTTACAATTATGTCATTTTGTCCAAATACCTTTGAGCACCTGAAAATGGAGGTACTTTGTTGAAAATGGCTGTAATTCCTAAATGGTAAATGGCATATTTTTGTGGAAGCTCTTAAAATAAAGCTGAAAGTCTACACTTCGATTACATCTTGATTGTTTTATTTCAAATTCATTGTGGTGGTGTATAAAGGCAAAATCACAAAAACTCTGTCATTGTCCAAATACTTCCAGACCTGACTGTACATATATATATATATATATATATATATATATATATATATATATATATATATATGTATATATAATAGATATATATAATAAGAAATGCATTCTTTAAAAAACACATTTCTGCAGTAAATTTGAACGACATTCTTTTACACATTAGACACAGCACAGATATCACAGCACATCTGTGTAAATCATCTTCTAGCAGGACTGAAGGACTGATTCAGTTCTAAATTAATGATCACCACAGCCTGATGTTGTGTAACAGGCTGTGTGTTATATATCAGGCCAACTATCTCATGCATAAAAGATGAAAAAATCATGGGAATAATGAGCATCAAAATCAAATATGGCCATCCTGGCTCCTGGAGAGATACCGCTAGTTCCAACCTGTAGTCAAATTTCCAGATACACCTGTAGATCATTATTAATGGAGCAGATATATTAGATTTCACATAAGTTTAAAAAAAAAAACTTACCCACAGACTAGACTAGAGAGTATGAATATGTGACCAGCATAGGAGTCTCAAACAGAGAAAACAACACTCACAGGCGTACACAGGAAATGGGAAAACTTCACGAAGTACATTGGTGAAAACACCAAACTGAATGAGGGTTGAACAGAAAAAAGGTGCAGTCAATAATCTGGTGGAGCACTATGGGAATAGGAGCACGATAAACAGGACAATCTCAGCCAAAAGTATCCCAAAGGTTTCACACATGGGTGTTAATTGTAGCTTAAGATATAAATATATTGTAAGGTTTATGTGCTCAGGGTTCAATGTGACTTGACTGGATTCAATGTGTTTTTCCACTTCTGACATGGTAGTGCCAAATACAGCGCAGAACTACACTACCCATCAGCCCCAGCACATCACATGAAAAGTCACACACAAGTCACATGCTTCACTGATCAAAAGCAACTTTTTTCATTTTCACCTAATTAGTGTCACTATTTACGTTCTGGATTCTGTGCATCTCTGTCTAGCTTTTGTCATTCGTAGGCATTGTTGGGTATCACTTAGCCCACATTGTGTTTATGTCCTTGCCATGTGTATCTAGTTCTTGTTTATATGGTTTCTTGTTCATAGCCATTGTTTTCGTGTGTTTCACTAAAATAAATAGACTTCTGCAATTGCATCCACCTCCGCTACCAATTCCTGACAGAAAGCTAGAGTCAACTATGGATGCATCAGATTTTTTCAAGGGCCGACAAGAACTTTTGCAGAAGAACCGCCTGATGTGGGAACAACAGGGAAAGAGAGAATGGGTCAGCACCATGCTGGAATGGCTTGAAGCCATGTGCCCCCTTGAAAATTTTTTGAGGAGGGGACTCCCGACCAAGCTGGACCATCTACCACCCTGCCTGCCCCACTGAGGATGTCGGTCTGCCTTGTTGCTTGGCTGAGGACATCCCTCTGTCCATCTGCACTGCAGAGGACATTGTTAAAACTCATGGCTGCGCTACGGGCATCACTCTGTCTCCCTGCTCCTCCGAGGATGTCACTATGCTACTCGGCTCTGCTTCGGACATCTTTCTGTCTTCCTGCTCTGCTGAGGACGTCACTCCGCCTCCTTGCTCTGCTGAGGACATCACTCCTTCCCCTTGCTTTGTGGTGTATGTCGCTCCCTCCTCTGGCTTCGCGATGGACGTTGCTCCCCACCTCTGGCTCAGCCTTGGTCTTCACTCCCACCGCTGGCTCTGTGATTGCCGTCGCTCTGTGGTGGCCATCGCACCACTCTCATGCTCCTGCTTGGATGTCACGCCACCCGTTAACTATGCAGAGGAGGTCACTCCGCCTCACTGCTTATTGGAGGACGTTGTGTCTCCCGCCTGCTCCGCTAAAGGCATCACTCCCCATGGACCTTGTCGGCCTAAGGACCTCCAACAGCAAGGAGACATTTCGCTTGGTTGTCCAGGACCCCCTCTGAACTGCAAAGCGTGCTTCACGAGCCGTGTGTTAAGGGGGGTTCTAAGGGGTTGTCATATCAGAACTACACTTCCCAATAGCCCCAACACATCACATGACCAAGTCACATGCGTCACTGATCACCTGCACCTGTGTCCTTTTTCACCTAATTAGTACCACTATTTAAGGTCTGGATTCTGTGTGTCTCATTGTCTAGCTTTTGTCATTTGTAGTTGTTGATGAATGCCACTTAACCCACGGTGTTCATGTTCATGTCCTTACCATGCACATCTAGTTCTTGTTTTGTTTGTTTTGTTTCATGTTCTTTAGTCTCGTGAGTTTCAATAAAATAGATTTCTGCACTTGCATCTGCCTCTGCTACCAATTCCTGAAAACATTATGCTTCATTACTGCTGTTATT